GGTTTGCTGCCAAGCAAGCTTCTCGTCTCTCCCACCACTCAACCTGCGACTTTAGCCGCTGGGCTGAATCATGGCTTCGCATGATAGGCATTCTGCCCGCAGGGAATTTCGCCTTGAACCATATCCTCGGGACTGCCCCCAACTTGCTTAGCACTTTTCGGACATATGTACTAAGCGTACCGCTGAAGTACTACAGTCTATTACCTCAATAAGGTTTCCGCCTATAGTCCTCGAAGTGTTATGCTATTCCAATTCAGTGTGTTTACAGTCCTCTCAGAACTGTTCGTAGAAGAGACGGCATGGTGGAACAAGCCATATCGCATTAGGCTCGACCGCATTGTACAACCAGCGCAGTCTATATAGTCTATGACTTGTTATGAGCATATTCTGGCTCCATTAATCTTGACTCGTCCAATGGCTTGGTATGCTGCACCACCACCAACAACAGTCTGTACTACTCCGCCATGCCAACCAGGTGGCAAGCGGGCTCTCCTTCATTCATCCCTAGTCCTGCATCATTTTGATCGGGCAGAGGTAAGCATCAGTCATGCCATCGGTGGTCTGGGATACTATTTGCTGTTTCCATTTGACTAAGGGTGCCCCTCGCTTTCGCTTTCGCTTTCCTGAGTGCCTTCATATAGCTAGCAATATGGCCCAACTTTGCTCTATTGGCTATATCTTACCCTTCCAAGGTCAAGTACATATCCGACCTTGATTCATTAGTTATCGAGAGATGACTGAAAGACGAAATGGCCATGGGTAGTTCTATCACCTGCATTTCTGCCGACTGTTCGCGAGTGTTTCTCTTCCAGCCGCCCACACTCGCTGGAAATGCCGTCCTCCTCGCCTTTTTTTCGGCCCTCATTCCCATAGCTCTAGCACTGGGCGCTAGGTACAAGAGCCCAGGTTTCTCTACAGCCATAGCCACGGGTCTTGCTCTAGAGACTGTGGGTTACGTTGGCCGGCTGTTGTTACGCAACAATCACGACAGCCGTAACTGCTTCGCTGCCTTTCTCATCGGAACGACTCTTGGTCCAACATGTATTTGCGGTGCTATGTTTTCCATCGCACCTCGCATCGTCGCGATTTACGGCGAAGAGTACCGCTCTTGGAGGCCCGTTTGGTACCTACTCCTTGTCTCCGTTTTGACTATGGTGTCTTTTGTCTTCGAACTCGTTGGCTCTCTAGTCGCAACAGTACAGGGCGCGCCCACTATAGTGCGTAAACCTCTATACGTATATCCTTCTTACCAGTTAGTAACAAGCAACAAGGTTGAGACAGGTGTCCGACTTCTCGCTGTAGGGCTGGCTGTTCAGCTTATTGCGCTTACCATCTTTGTCTTCCATGCTACTCTCCTCGCCATCACTTTACGAACAAGACAACACGACTTAGATCCAAGTTTTGCCCCTGTTTACAACAGTTTCCTGTTCAGATTATCCCTAGCTGGTATGGGACACTTCATCTTTGTAGGATAGAAACAGGCTGACCATTGACAAACCTCAGCGTTTATCGTTGCGACTACTTTAGTAATTATGCGAACGGAATTTCGTACTATACAAGTAGCCCGGGGGCTTCAAAGCTCCATTACACAAACCGAAACACTCTTTTTTATCTTCGATGGCGCCGCCATGTTAATTGCGATCGTGCTACTGCTGGCTTGTTTGCCCGCTCGGGCCTTGGGGGAGTACTGGCCGGACACCTTGGTTTATATGCTGTCACAGAAGCCGCAACGACAAACTCGTCAACCCCCTGTCCAACTCCCGGTCACTCAGCCTAGTCCAACCTACAGGGGGGTAGGTATGAGATCCTCTATGAGTAATTACTCACCTAGAATGGTGAACCACCGGGCCCTCCCTTCGCAAACGAGCTTGGTCGTTGGTGATAATCTCTGGTGAGAAACTATCTCAACTCCGATTAAAGTTTCTTTGCTATGAGGGTCGGGTATAGAGTTAGCCGGGATGTTAAAGCAATGGAGCCAGAGTATCAGAGCACACCCGAGCCAGGACGCTTGGGCAAGCGTATGGGTTCTCCGAGCCGATAGATCTCCGTCCCTTCTATTGTATATCCCATGATTCCAGTGGGCAGATTGGTATTCCTACACGGGCTCAAAAGGATTTGATAATACTAACATAACGAGAGCTATGACATAACGGTTATTTAGATACGACGTAGTGTTTTCACGGTCCGACTCCAGACCCCTAAAAATTGGTTGCTAGATGAGTGGGAACTAAGGTCTAGTGAATCAATATTAGATAGAAGGGTTGGGTATTTTTCTTATTCACATCTTAGATAGAGGTTCGATAGCGGCGATGGTCTTACGATGGAATGATTAGACGAGATGGTAACGAGCTCTTAAAACTAGAATATTATAACGAATGTTACGCCAATAGTCAATCATATTACTTTTTGGCGAAACTGTGCAGCAAAGGGAAAGAACCCAGGCTAACAAGCCGCTTATGCCGCCTTTCTCATCCCACCACGATTAATCATGTTACTCTTCTCAAGCAGGGAAAGTCGCGATCACTCTAAAATCCTACCTTCCGCATAGGATATCGATCACATTGGAGTATGGCTTGATGTCTGCACCGTGTAGAAATCTCTGCAGAATAAGATATACTGATTCTTGCTTGCCATCTTTTCTCGAGTTTACAAGCAAGTTAGCTGTTAGCCTATCGATCTCACTCGTAGTATATTAACAGAGAGATCTTAAATGTAACTTGACGTAAATCTCCCGTATAATTGTTTTTACACGAAAATCCAGATAAATTCTTTACCTAAAGTAGGTAGCCAAAAACGATCTCGAAATGTCTCACTTCTACAGCAAGTTCATCACCACAACTTAGTAAATAGCTGCAGCAGCTCAGGAACTATTAAAAAAAAAAACCAAGGCCTTAATTCAAACATAATACAAAAATGTTATATCATCTAATAATTCTTCCTTACAGTCTAGATCAATATAATGTGAATTTACCTATTTTAATGAATATCGAGAACCGCTTATTCGCTAATAATACAACCGCCTATAAAAAGATCAATCGAGATTAAAGAATGCTAGAAGGCAAGGTAAAAAATGGAAAATTACTAAGATATTACACACCCACTACTAGAATTAAGACCCTCACCTACTGTTACACCTTTTGAGAAAGAAAATGCCCTTTATAATGTAGATATCGTTTCGGTAGTTACCGTACCAAAACTTGCTGTGTTCAGTAAATACGTGAAAAATAGTATATCCCTATTCCTTCACGTTCCCAGCATCGCAGCCTACAACAACCGCAACATGACCAGTGCGCCTTTGAGTTTTCCTTGCCGGCGCCTATGTACGTCGACCCAAACTTCGGTGCGTCGGGCACGCAGACTGTGTCCTCACCAAAACCGCCAGCGATGTCTCATTCCGCGTCTAACCCAAAGCCGCCGGGGACGAACCCCGCGACCGAGAGCCTGCACTGCTATGACAGCGGAGCGACTACAGACCGCGGCAGCATGATTGACGGCGTGAACGCGTTCTGCAACCGCTTTTCCGGCCGGATCCTAGACGCTAGCAACGAAAACACGGAACACACGCTCACATACACCCTGAACAACATCGAGGTGACTGGCGGCACGGCGGCTGCCTACGTCTTTTACGATGTATTTATACTAAGGGCTCGGACTAGCTAGCTTTTACGTACTAAAGGGAATAGCTTACTGCTTCGCCTGCCTTATGTGTAATACTGCTATCACTACTTCTTTGGGTCGGACTTAGAACCAATCCCAATAGCTATCCGCGGAGCCGTCGATACAGTCGCTAACGATACTTATTTTCTAGGCTCTTCATGCGCGCGAGATGTATTCCTGATTTTAGACTATGGCTAGATACCTTGGCCTAAGTAGGATGTTGCGTAGTACTTAGCCAATGCAGTGATGTCGATGTGAGTATATAGACCTCCATATACAAAGCATTATAAAGAAAAACATCGCTAGGAGCACGGCCCTTAGCTCTGATCGCTCGAAGCCTTCTCACCTGTACCTATTTCCTCAATCACCTGCCTGCCAGGTGATACTGTGCCAAGCCGAGCATGGGTAGGTTAGTAGTCACGCCAAACCGGATTCGTCACCCACGTCGAAAGTGGATCATACCAGCTAAGTACCATCTGTTAAGGTATCACCGCCCTCCCGCCTAATTCCATAACAAGCGTAACCTAAAGTTTTCAACCCTAACTCCACAACTCTATGCCCATAATAGAGTATATCCTTTTCGTCTTCCAGCAATCAGCTCAACATGACGGTGTTATAGTATAGTGGTTAGTACAATTCGTTGTGGCCGAATAGACCCAGGTTCGATTCCTGGTAACGCCAACCAATTGGTTCATCTGCCGTGACAAGTTGATATTTTTTCACTTTTTGTTCATTTACTTCCTATTCCATTCTTATACATCCTACATAATACTTACTATTTAAATTTTAATCTATTTTTTTATTTAGACCGTCCGCAAAGGGTGGGCGCGAGCAATGAGCGATAGTTGGTATTAAATCATCGGACAACTTACTAGTTGCATACGGCCTTGGAGTCTTGCCTATTATTTCTACGAAACGCATCATCACCCACCTTCATTTAGTAAGGCCAGCGTGGTTTCCAGAATAGATTCTATTATCTAACCGCGGATTTGGGTTGTTTTCTAAATGCTGGCGTGCCAAGGATGTGATTAATAGAAACAACGTTCCCCCGAATCTTCAAGATACTTTGCTCGTTGCTCTCCTAGTGCTAAAAAGAGGAAGTCCATAACATGAACGAGATAGACGGTTTTTTTTATTTTTTTTAAAAAAAAAAAAAAAGGAGACGAAAACTAGTCTTGATAATATCCTAGAAGGGGATAGAAGACAGTGTTTCCTAAGGATGCTGATAGTGATCCAAAACTCATTTATACCGGAAAGACTGGGACAGAAACAGAGAGCGCAACATAGACGAGGCGCCGTCACTGGAAACATCAGGTTGAGATCGGCCTCATTTCCTCATCGATGGACCCGTAGCTCAGCGGTAGAGCATCTGATTCCAGTGGAAGCAGCATCCAGAAGGTCATCCGTTCAAATCGGGTCGGGTTCAATTCCTAGATTCGTCCATCATTTTTGACAATTTTCAATTTCTTTTAGCCGCTTAGGCAAAGTGGTTAAACTGATCTTATTCTGCGCTTGCTTTCCCCAGTGTCCCTAGTCGGGAAGAGCTAGACTAGATGCCGCGAACATAATCTAGAGCATGGGGAAGTCCAAGAAGAAGTGTGTACCGTACCAAAACTTAGTGCGTTCAGTAAATACGTGAAAGACAGTTTGTTATTTTTTTGTCTTTGACGTTTAATCACCAGTTAATACGCTTCATAAACCGTTGATCGGCTATCAATGTTCTTGCAATTTTCAATGCGTGAACAATAGTTTAGTGGACTGAACGAGGAGGGGCGGTACACACTAGTATGGATCTAAGCATAGACACACTAAAAAATGGTTTCTAGTGTATACTCGGTAGTGTACTGGTTATGTGTATAATAGAACAGCTTACTATAACTTATCGGGCTTGGGTTTGTAAGAGCGTTATGACGTTAAATAATATCAATCAATCAAGCATAGCGACAGGAACAATGAGTACGGTGAAGTGGAAGAGTCTTCACGTTTTAATGTTCTAGTGTGTACATAGCTCACTACTAGAGTTGCAGTAATCCACACTAACTCCGGAGGGATAATCCAGTAGCAGCATGGATGCCATGGCGGTGTTGCCCGGAAAAGCGCGCCTCGAACGAAGTTCATATCCTCCTCGGAGAAGTAGTCGGCTTCCTAAGCAATCGCGAATTCCTGTTCGCCGATGCCAGTCTACTGCTTGGCCTCCCAGGCTCGGATACGCAGGGCGTCCGTAATGGGGACGATATGTTGTTTATTGCTCGATGTGGTATATTCCCCTCCAATCACTAGGGGATCCCAAAAAGCGACATAGAGAGTGCTGACGAAGGGAATGATGAGGCGCAGATCCCGGTAGGGTTCAAGCTAGTGTACTTATTGTACACTACTGTCTGACTTTAAGAATGAGCTCTTCAGATTCAAGCCGTGCGAGTGTTGTTATAGCTCCATATATCCGAATAAACGCTGCCCTTACTTACCGCCGGCGACTATCTACATCGGGATTGACATTCCGTCACTCCCCTGGTTGCCTCCAAAGTGAGTGGACTGGGGACGAAGGGACTCTTAGCCAAGGGCTTAAGACTTAGTATAGGCAGCCGTGTTTTTCGACGATAATTTTGCGAACCCTACGCTACAGTCTACAGTACACTAACCAACCTAGTGTAGTAAACTCCGGAAGGGAAGTGCGACCCAACGGGGTTCCGTGCACACTAGGTACGATGCGAAGCGATCGGGAACTAGCCCGTGGCCTCAATATCAAGCCGGACGCCGTTTGCATGCATGTCAGCCACAATTGCAGCCGCGTACACTAATGCCCTATCAGACAGGGCACCCTGCCTCTCACATAAATAGCGTAGAAAGGAATTACGGGCAACGGAGTACACACCGCCCTCCATGAACTCCGATCCAACCCGATGCTTTCTAGGAATTCCGCCAGCTAGTACAGGCACCCAACAGGAGTAATTCCTTAGTTAATCAATTATCATGAAGGGCTACCCCTAGTTCTCTATGAAAGCACTCGCTTATCCTCCAAGACTTGACGTAAGTTAGTTCGCAGCTTTGATATTTCATGAAGTGCGGGGCGCATAATAAGCGAATTGACAACTCTTTTTATATGTATTTCAAAGTGCCAACTAGTGTAGTGTGTAGTGTTGAAATTTAGGACCCGTACGAATATTCGTTAATTTACTCTATCCTTTCTTCTCCGAAGCTTCCACTCCCTCGTGGTGTGCTAGGGTTCCCAATAAGCTTTGCACGTGGCAAGAGTTGAATCTCCTTATAGTAGTACTCAACCGTTATGTCCGCAACCTGCGCGATAACATCGTAACTACTATATATGCAGGAGACGTACACGTAAGCAATGCTCATGCAAGTCAGGGGCAGTATCCCTACCCCCGGAATACTGCCAGGGTATGCAGGATATGCTAGTGTACACTTACATTACACTAATGTACACCACAACACACCATACAATCCTGGACCTGTTGATGACTTACACTATTTAGCCTAGTATATAGGAGGTAATGAAACATGGAATTCTTCATATTATAGCGCATAATAGCTAGGTGCACACTAAGTAAGCGTGCCTGTGTACAGCAAGTTAAGTTGATATACCGCCTTTTTAGCACTATATATACCTTAAATGGGTACTGTATTTTATTCGCTGTTATTGGCTATTTCTATATAACCTATAGAAACACGGTGTAATGTGTCCGTACAAACTCTTGAAACACGGTAGCACCAACTAACAACATACCATTTAACACCGACCTAGAAGGACCTAGAAAACCAACAGAATATATTCTTAAGACGAAACTTGATAAGGGCTCGAATAGTATTGGATTTCTATTATGTGGAACCAGGCACGTGAAATAGAAAGCAAGATACGACGGGCAGAAATAAATTCACCTAAATAGGCGTATCACAGAAACCGAGCAGTGGATTCTAACGATGCACCGTTGGAATGCCCGGGCGTTAACGTGTAGACACTATAGTAAGAGTATATTTACAAGCCACCTTAAGGTCTGTGCCAGAATATCCATATAGCCAAGCCTGCAAATAGCGTCCGGGATAGTCACCCATATCTCAAATACCGCAGGGTAGGAGCGTGAACCAAAGCATTGAGTGTATAGTGTAGTGTAGTGTACATCAATTGATAATCTAACAACTATTTTTCTTTTTCTTTATATCCGAATCAGGCGCTAATCAACAAGATCTTGAGGATTTTATGGCAATCTCAGGTCAAACTCCCTCCCCCAATTAGGTCGTATTGACGTGCGTGAAACGCTTCCTATAGCTATTTGATGCTTATAGCCTGGCGGCGGCAGCGCTGCCGGTAGGTACCGGGTACGAGGTGAGGGAGGCGCTGACGCTCGGGGGAGCGCTGCTCAAGTCCTGGCAGAGGTCGGCCGGGTTGCTGGCGATCGAGTGGATGTAACTGGTGATGGAAGCACCTTCCGTACCCGTGGCTACGCACTGAGTGACGATGTGGTCGTATGAGGCAATCTCGGTGCTGGCGAACTCGAGCAGTACGGAGCCCCAGCTGGCGAAAATGGGTAATACCGACTGCGGCAGTTCACCGACGGCGCTGCAGACGTTGTCTACGAATTCTTCCGGGTGTAGGAAGAGGTCCTCAGGGTGAGGACTACTCCCACTTACTTCCTCAAAGACTTCGACGAGCTCGGGAGGAGTCGTAGGGGCAGCTGCGACAAGCTCGGAGACGTAGGTCGGGCAGTCTGGGTCAGGAAATACAGTGCTGGTCTGAGCCATGGAGGCGCCCGTGAGGGCAGCCACAGTAAGGAGGACCTTTGTGCTGTACATGATTCTTATTGGCTTGGGTCGCTTTAATATTGAGAGTTTATTGTCTGGTACGAAGAAAGGCGAGGCGTGGAGGAGTGGTAGGCAAGTATGGAGTTTAGCTGGGCAGCAGTAGATGGTTTTATATCCAGAGCAGCCCTCGTCGACGAACAAGCCTGACAGCATATGCCATGACTATCTAGGTTAATAAATGCTACCTACACTAGGTATACATCTAGTGCGTCTAACAAGCATTATCGGACGGAGATTTCCCTAGGACGGGATTCGGGACGGGCTTTACCGCGAGAAAGGTCCCTGGTAACGACACATTTGTTCGTGTAGTGTAAACAAACATCTTATTATTTCTATCGACACTATACTTGTCGAGCAGTACACTACTCATTGGCAGTAGGGCCCACGGATGGAGGGGATTACATACACTACACTAACCGTAGGTAGTCCGCCAAGGGTTGAGATACGGACCCCTGCATAATAACCAGGCTCATCCACATACTGTAGTAAGGGATGGATTTCAGGGAAGTCCAAGGTGGAGAGAGACGAAAGATAATATCTAGTATACCGGAGACCAGGATGAGTCGGGTTGCTAGATGATTCCGTTTCCTTGAATGTCGATACGAGGGCCCGAGTAGTGTAGTGATTAGTGCATCAAGAGTTCTATACTCATGAGTCACCCATTGTGAATCATCGTGTATAACAAAGGCTTCTAAGAGGGCTTGGAATATGACTTCGAATCACGATGTAAGGTGGGTACGGGGGACAAGCATCAATATTACCCCTCACGGTAGATTCCATGTCAATTACCTCCATCCCTTCTACAACACCATCATCACCCACATAACTTTCACTACCTTTTTTTTTTCTGACTAGGAAGACGTTTTCTGGGGCCACCAGACTAGCCAGAAATGCCCTAGCCACCCTAGTCACATAGGATACCTACTAAGTACGTCTGCGATATTAAACAAAGGCGTTTCGCAGCGCACCCGCGCTGTCGAAGCTCCCGTCAAAAATAGTTAGCTAGTTAGCTAAACCTCACGCCGCAGGCTAGTCAGTTGGTTAACCCTAGGTACTTAATTAAACTTTATGCCCCGTGCCATAGTTAATTGCAGTGTGTAACAATATAGACAATACACCACACCTATATTGGCTATAGCCCCCAAAAGGGATGTAGAATCACGAAGGCGGCAGCCTGATTACTGTTGGGACCTGTAGAGGAAGGTTTGACTAGCCCATCAACTGACTTCCATACCTGCGGCAACGCATCTTCTGTCACATACTCGCCTTCAATCTTCTTTCTCCCGTTCTTCTCGTCACTCGACGACTTTTATCCTACTCCTATACCTTTACAGACTTCCTGCCCATCGCTGTCCGGATTGGCTGACCTTTCAATTGCGTGACCGATAGACAAACGTGGGTGTTTGTTATTTTCGAAGGAAAGAGGGCAGATGTCACAATCTCACGATGTCTAGGAACAAAGATGATTCCCTGTATATAGTAGTAGCGCAGCTACGAGGGTATTCCGAAAGCCTCGCGCATCAACGAGTGTCATATTCTTCCCTATACTAGCAGTCCTGACAGCAGATGTTGGGGAACCTATAGGCCCAACATAGAGGTTGAATTTACCCC